TATATATATATAACAAGATTTTCGGTCGCGCAGCAGCAATTAGCCGAGCGGTGTGTCCAGATACCATCCCTCTCAACATTTTTTTTTCTTTTGTTCTTCGTTCTCTCTGTGTCCTCGCTCTCCTTTTCGNTCTGCGAGCAACAGCGAGTTCCTCCGCCGTTTCCTCCAAGGTAAACATACAAGATAAACATACGTGTAAAATAACATTCGTTCCTTCGTCAGCGGCACGCCGCCACTCACGCGAATCTCCGCTTAATATATATATATATATATATATATATAACAGATATATAGATTTAATTTAATCTCTAATGAAATTAAATGTTAATCAAAAGAAAATTTTTTAATCAAATGTGTTTACGCGCGTTACAAGAAAAAAATAAGTCGGAAAAACACACGTTAGCGCATCCACATAGCGCTATATAGATATGTGTATGCGTACGTAAAATAAAAAAAAACTCCTGCAGCAAAAGCAAATTAATTCATTGTATGATTGTTATTAACTGAGTAGTGTAAACAAGATCGTGATTAACTGACGATCGATTGACGCACCCAATATATATATATATATATATATATGAGTAAACACAACGCTTTACCGGGTGCGACAAACGATTATAATTAATCATCGATTTTGTATTCATATATATATATATATATATAATATTTTTTTTTTGTTGTTAAAATAAGAGAACCGATGTCGCTTCAACGTGAACCCCGACCGATCTGATTACGCCCCGTAACCCGATCGATGGGAATCCCTCGTTTAAATAATCGATTCAGCGGATAAACGCTGAAGTGACACCGGTTTCGAGATGCCGTCTGTCCTGTTAAAAATTTCTCAGTGGGTCTCGTCTTCCAACACGATGTCATTTGCCGTGGTATTCTGACGACAACGGTAGACGTATGCGCTCGCGGACAGATCCTCGCGGTAACGCACGCACTTGTAGCTGTCGTCCGGGCACTCGCAGCTGCATAAACAAATCGAAAGAGAAAAGAGAGAAATCAAACGTCAGAAGAAAAAAACAACAGCTCGAAGAATATCTCGCGCGACTGATTATTCTCTTTTTTTTTTTTTTTCAACGTTACGCGCTGATTTTTTTTTTTTTTTTACGTGCGCTACTGAAAAATATTCGAATCTCTCTGTTTTTTCATTATCTCGCTTTTCTTCAGAAATTTGGTTTCTTCGGGATTGTTTTTTTTTTTTTTTTTTTTTTTCAATATTTCTGAAACACAAAGTAAACAAATCGATTGATTTTGTTTTTTTCTCTTACGTGTTCTTCATGTAGTATTCGATGTTGCGCGTGGTCGGGTGATAGACCGCCCATCCGCAAGGTGAGTTGTAACAAGTTCGTTTTTCCCCGCTGGCGTCTTGCTCTTCCGTGGATCGTTCGGGTCGCAGAAAGTTCCTCGGTAGAAGTCCGTGCAGGAGTCGCTGTCGAATCATATTACCAAAGGTCTGCAATTATAATAAACGTATTTCGCCGCCCTAATTACATTTTCTTATTTTCTTTTTTTTTTTTTTTTTTTAACAACATCGATCCTTTATTTTATCTTCGATCGATTCTTTTGCGCTGTTTCATATTTCTGTATAATGAATAAAGAGAGACACATACGCGCACACATATCTCGTTGACAAAATGTAGGATCGTATGATTATTATGCGATTTTCTCTGGTGGTGACTTTATTTCTTCGGTATCATATCAGGCACGTATATTTACTCGGTCGTCTTTATCAGTCGCGTCAATCAGTTGTGGTAAAAGATTTGGTCAGTTTTTTTTATCGGCAAAACGATCGAATTAATTGATTACAATCCGAACCAACAGAACAACAATCCGCGATAGATATCGCATGGAACTGTAAAACGTAACTAATGGATCATCTCAATGAGGATTTGGTTCCGCGATTGTTGTTAGAAATATTTCTCCACGCTCTTTTCTTCTTAGCGATTTAAACAATAATTTAAAAAAAAAACAAAAAAAAAACCGCGCACGATTAAGAAAACCAATCATTGAGTAAAATTAGATTCGCAATATCTCTGTGTGGTGTCTCACCTGTTGTGTTCAAGTTGTTCTGTGAAAAAAAAAAACAAATTTTTATGCGCGCGCGCGATCGGAAATTTTCTGATAGATCCGCGTCTTTCTGCGACGGCAACCACACCGCAAAGTTTTTTGCGTACGCACGCAAAAGAAGAAGAGAAAGAGAAGAGAGGAAGAAGAACGCTTGTGTGTGTGTCACGTGATGAGTATTTGCGCGAGAAGTGGCGCGTCGTGACGCCAGTCACGCGCGTTCAAAGGACAATGATGCAAACGCGATTCGGTGAAGAGCGCGAAGAGTATTAGCGGGTATCTCCCGATATACCCGACGGATCTCTACAAATCGAACGAGATAGCCTCTCGTCGTGTCAAGTGCGGCTATCTTACTTGCTAGCTAAAAACAAAAAAAAAAGAAAAAAAAGCTATTCTCAGCTCACATTTTACGTGCGAAAACAATATTTTGCTTTTTTGTTTTTTGCGATACTTCGTTTGCAACAATACAAAGTCGAGTCTTCGTCGCGTTGACGCAAAAAAAAAAAAAAAAGTGACATGATCGCACGAACTCTTTTATCGATTTTTCTCTCGCGAATTACAAAATCATACAAAAACAAACTGATACCGCGAGTGTTCTTGTTTACTCGTTATTATTTTTTTTTTCTTTTTCTTTTTTTTTTTTTTTTGTGAACTTCTCTCTGTCGCGATCCCGATCGATTTGCGTCGTTGAACTTGGAAAATGTTTTCTAATTAAACAGGCACGCGCGCACATCAATGAAAGCAAAGAACCCTACTTGTTTGTTAGAGATGTGTCGAGGTCTCATGATGACTCGAGAGCGAACCTCGATTTATGAATGAAACGAGCGTGTACTTTGATAAACGCACTCTCGTACTCTCTCTCTCTCTCAATCTATCCGTCTCTCTCGTTGTACATATATTTAATGAAGATAAAAAGTTATTGAAATAACATAATACGTGTGTATTTTATATATATATATATATAAAATCGTTACACATATATATATGTAAAAAATTGTTATACATATATTTAATGAAGATAAAAAGTTATTAAAATAAAATAATACGTGTGTATTTTATATATATAAAAAAAATCGTTACACATATATATATGTAAAAAATTGTTATACATATATTTAATNTACACATATATATATGTAAAAAATTGTTATACATATATTTAATGAAGATAAAAAGTTATTAAAATAAAATAATACGTGTGTATTTTATATATATATAAAAAATCGTTATACATATATTTAATGAAGATAAAAAGTTATTAAAATAACATAATACGTGTGTATTTTATATATATAAAAAATCGTTATACATATACATATATATATATATATAAAATTGTTATACATATATTTAATGAAGATAAAAAGTTATTAAAATAACATAATACGTGTGTGTATTTTATATATATATATATGAATATATATCACTATAAACAACTTGACTCATCAAAATAAATGCGCTCTCAATCAAAGCGCAGTCTCGATGCCGATTTGCGTAATAAAACGCGTTTTTTTTTCGCGATTCCCGCACACGCACGCGTAAACTTGATAGAGTCGCTTTTAAACTTAACTTGTTGTTTTGCTCGACGCAGCACGTACGTACATGCGAATTTTTTTTTTTTTTTTACATTTGCAAAAAGTGCGTGTTAGCGTTTTATCCGGTAAGACGAGATTTCAAAGAGCGCGTATACATATCCGTTTGTTTCGCTTGACACGCAGGTGTTGCCATTTATTTGTTTTTATACGTATATATATATATATATATATTGAATCGCGCGCTTTATATGAAAGAGTTGCGGTCGAGAGAATAGTTTACGATCCCGCGTTTCCGAGAAAATCACGATGATCCTCGTTGAATCCCTTAAACGGAGAAAAATAAAAACGTCCGCGAACCGTGACCGCGAAGAAACCGATTTCTTAACGGAGCGCTCGATTCCGTCTTTTCTCCTCGTCTCTCTCGGAAGTTCTGAGAGATTCCCGTTTTCTATGCAAAATTTTCAATTCGGAAACTTCGCTCGAGAATTCGTTTCAACTCAACTCCGACTATCTCAACCATTTATATATATGTTCGACCGAATTTTTAACGTTCGGCCGAAATTAATTTTTTTTTGTTTTTCTTACCTCCGAGCTGATCGACGCCGCGTCGAGATGCGACGAGTAGTACGTCGCGACGACAAAGAGGACGAGAAGTAGCTTCATGTTGTTGAACAGCTTCGTAATAAATTTCTCTCCGCCGGGGAAATCGTTTCTTCTCGCTTCTTCTCCTCGCGTGAGATTCTTTTTCGCGATTGTCTTGCGACAGGGGATGGTGGTGTGTGTTCGCGGGATGAGCGCGCGCGCGCCTCAAAGAAAATTACCGTTCGGAAAAGCAACAGGTGGTGGTGCTCGGGGAATTGTTGCGCCTAGATGATGAAGATTTTGCACGCGGCTAAAGTCTGAAAACGTTAAAAAAAAAGGAAGCCTCGATGAAAAGTCGCGTATGTATCTTTCCCAACCCTTTTGACTCTCTGACGAATTTTAAATCAGATAATAGCGCGCGCCCCCAATCTCAGAGAGATACGTACGTCTTGGAAAACGCGTGTAAAAAACTGCTCTTTTTACCGACGTATTAAACGTGTGGACGAGAGTGGATTACCGAGCATCGCAACCGAGAGTGCTTCTCGAAGATTTTATACATAGACTGTCTTCTCGTATAGAACTGAGGATGCTTATATAGGACTTAGCGGTGGGTGAGTATCTGTCCCCGGTATCTCGAAGAAAGGGAGAAGGGGAGATTTAGGCAGAGAGAACGCGACGAACACACAGAGGGGGGAAAAGCTAAAGATCGAGTGACTGAACACATCGAGAAGAGAGAGAGAAGGGGAGGAGAGAGACCACACACGCGCGCTTACAGTAATAATAATCACTGTAATAAGACATAGGTCTCTCTAACTGCGCCGATCATCTTTCGTCACTAGCACTTCGTTGATTTCTCTCGCAATTTAACGAGATCGATGGTTATCGTGGGTGCGCGCGCGTGCAGCACGTGCTTCTAACGGCGGGGAAAAAACAATGTTGCTTACTTCGCCACACCGGAGCGAGCGAGCGAGCGAGAGCAACATTGTTCTTCTCTTCTTTTGATTTCCAAGAGATTTAAATTCCACAACGCGAATCTAGGAATTTACATATAGTAAATATAATCTTCGTATCTGCTTTTAATCTGCTTTTAATCTGCTGAAATTTTGTATTCTAATCTAATTTTTTAATCACTTCGAGTTTTAATCTCGGCGCGTCGATTCTCTTTGGGAGAGAGAGAGAGAGAGCGTGAAATTTTTCGGCCGGCCCGGTCTCCGCTGGGAAAAGTTCGCTCCCGATCTCGCGGCGAATCAAATCCAGACGTGCAAAAAGAAAATCTTAGAAAAGTCTTAAAACGGAAGAAGAAACGAAAGAATCTCGAACACACACACACACAATACGAAATAAAGAAAACGATGAAAAAAAAGTAGGCCGGCGCGTTTCTCACCGCGTGGAAATAAATCAATAAAAAACCCTTTTCCCCGCGGCCGCGCGAGTTTCCGCCGGAGAAACGAATTATTTGCAACAATGTGACATTGAAACAATATTCGTCGTGTTTATTTCCGTCGTGTCTCATTAAGATATTTTTCAAGCGTTAATAACGAATATATACCCCCGATACCCCCCATGTGTGTGTCTCGGTGCAACAACACCGAGCACAAACAAATTTTTTCATTCGTTGACATGAATTTTTCCCCATTCTTTTAATTGATCCAATCGACGGCGCGAGTGCGCTCGTGTACACTCGTCATCAGGGTCACGCTCTCGGACGTGCCTTCGCGGTTGGATGTAAAGCAACGTTTATAGTTCGGCTTCGCCGTCGCGCGAACAATTCGTTTGTATCTGCGCGCCGATCGTCACCCGCGCCCCCCTTCGCCGGGAAAATTCGTCATCTCCGCCACCCACGTGTTTTTCCAATTTAATTCAAACTACCGGATTACTTTTAATAACTATACACACGGTGTGCAGGTCGGTCATGTGCCCACGAGGGGCTCGTCCGCCGGGAGGCCCGTCGTCGGTCTCTCGGCCAATCGCGATGGGATCTTGAACGCCCCGCTGCATTCGACGGCGCCGCGCGTGACACGGCGATGATGAAAACGCGGCGCCGTTTCCGATTTCGCGCGATCAACGAGATGAATGGATCGCAAAACGCATTCGAGACGCGCGTGTGTCACCGCGCGGCAACCGGTGAAGCTCGCGTGCAGAAGAGCGCGACGATAATAAAATAATGCGCGCGCGCGATCAACGAGAAGCGCGTCTTGCGATCGCGTTTTTTCGTCTCGAAGGGCTTGCGAGGTTTAATTTTTGCGTTTTTTTTTTTTTTTTTTGGTTTGTTCTATTCCGCGATTGCGCGCAGTCGTCTCTCTCCGTTTTTTTTTTTTTTTTCCGCCGTCTTGCTCCGCTTTCTTCTTCGCCGCATTGATAAGGTTCGCGAAAAAACAAACGTTAATCAGCGTCCAATCCAAATCGGTTTCGGATGAAGTTTTCGGCGAAGTATATATATTGCGCGTGATAAAAAAAAAAATGACGCAATAACGTACGCTTTGCGGAGCATAATCAGTGAGTCGCCCCGCGCGGGAAGAGAGAGAGAAGCGGGTAAGTATAAAGAAGTCGCGGGTCTTCTCTCTTGGGTCATACGATGTTTCTTGCGACACGCGCGGCCGGAAGCACGAAGTCCAGTAAAGGGAAAGAAAGAAACGTGAGAGAGGGTGATTGTGCGTGTGTGACGCAATTGATCATAGAAAACTTTCTGTGATTCCAAATAAAAAACAAAAAAAAACAACAACCGGATCTACCGGATTATCAAATCATACATATTACTTGAGAAAGATCGGTATTGCGTTATATACATTTTTTTGTTTGTTTAGATGTGACACTCGAAGACGTGACGCTTCTCTTGAAGGAAAAATCGGCGAACGTATTAACGTACCGGTTTCGTATTTACGTTGCGCGCATTTCCACTTATCGCAACTTTATTCGACGATTCGAGTTAGCGATAATCAACAGTCAAACTTTAATTTTTCTTGTTTTCTTTTTTTGGTTTTTGATACTGCGACGACAAATCTGGTAGAAGGCGGTGTCTAATCTAATCTAATGGAAATGATACCGCTAGACGTCGTGTCGACTCGAATGATTAACCGACATTCCGTCACCGTTATCGCGGACCGGGAAAAAGTTGTAGGTCTTTCATTTTCAAATATTTGGAACTTCCTTCTTCTTATCTTTTTTTTTTTTTTTTTTTTTTATAATTTAAATAACAAATTGATCAATGGATTAAATATATTAAAAAAAGCGCTCCGTTTCTTCAAACGGGGGGGAATTCTGATCTAGCCAGGGTCGAGAAAGCAAATTTTTTTTGCATTTTCTAAACGTAAAAAATAGAATGTTAAAATAGGAGAAAGTAGAGCGATTTGTTTTGTTTTGTTTTTTTTTTTAAATTAATTCTCATTATTTAAGAATGATGTCTCGTTATTTTTCTTCTCGAAGCGACGCGTCGATGAAAAATACGTGTGAATGAAACACAAGACGAATTCTCTTAACGAACGATTTGATATCTTTCTCGGAAATATTTTCGATAGCCTAATGTTAAAACGTGACTTTGGTTTGTGACGCATTGAAAATGATTCGGAAATCTTCTTATCGAATGAATGAAATTTATTCAATCGACGAATACAATCTGCGCGTTATGTACTTGTGAAAGAAAAGATGATTTCTTCAATCATCACGCGCGAGAATTGATCGAGAATCGCGAATTGCAAGCGTTTACGCACGTACGCAAACGCGCGTTTGTGATTTTGTCGATCATCGATTTACGTTGCGGCCGAGCGCGTGTGAGATCGAATATATATATCGCGCCGAAAATCCGATCGAAGATCACAGACACATTGGAAAATAAACGAATATTATTAAAACCGCGCGGTAACAAGTATATACGAATTTATTATACGATGCGAAATAAATCGTACTTAAAAAAAAAAAAAAACACCAAAATAAATCGTAGATGCGCGGCGGATATATATGGTGTCCACAAATATCCACAACCCGACGATTTTCCGAGAAAACTGGAAGAACTTGGCGATTTTCTTGGCAGTCGCTTTTGCTACTTCGCCGTAGCGTTTATATGTTGCGCAACAGGGATAACTTCTACTACGAAGGGGCGGTTACATGGACTATCGCGCGATGTTTCCTTGTCGTTTTTTTTTTTTTTTTTTTTTTTTCAGATAAAAAGAATATATCATAAGGTCCAATGATTAATTTCTAAAATGTTGGAGTATTGTTGATATGATATATATATATATATATATATATATATTATATTTCGTCTGTTTACACACAGTAAAAACTCTCGTGCGTGTTAAAATTTCTCGTGTTACCCTATTTCGACTATTTTTTACTTCGGCATAAAATTAATACCGAATTAATTTATACCAATATGTTATTATTTTTGTAACGTTTTTATGCGTTAGATTTACGCCAACTCCGTAACGTAATATTTTACGAGACTGAAACAAATAAAAATTAATGTTAAAAACTATTCAAATCTGAGTTTCTGTAATCTTTTGATAAGGTTACATCGAAAAGATTGTATTCTTGTTTTGAGGATATCCCACTTTACTTTAAGTATATTTTATACCAAAATAGGCGCCAACAAGAGTTTCTTATTTTAAGAGGAAAATCCTCTAAATAGTAATATTGATAAGAATATATACTGATTAGAATATAAAAATCTCTCTATAGAAAAACATATATATATATCTCACTATCGAAAAAGACTATATTCTTAAATAAAGAATATATTCTTAATTTCAGAAGAATATCATCTATAAAATCTTTAAAAAGATTTTTTAAGTATAAAATCTTCTACTTACGAGAATATAATTTTTTATATTCTCGTAAGTATATTTTTTATATCTCGGTGTATGAAAACAAGTCATTTTATTTATCATGTAATATTTAAATATTTTAATTAAAATATTATTATTTTGATACGTTCTGATAAAATGAAAAAAACAAAAATACTGATTTGTTGGAAATTGTACGTTTTGTCGCACAAATGTTATTTTGTACACAAGGGTGACTACACCGAAAAAATTGTATTCTTGTTTTGAGGATTTATCCCACTTACTTTAAGTATATTTTATACTAAAATAGGCGCCAAGAAGAGTTTAATTTCGTTTGAAATACATTTTTCATGAGTTATTGTACTATTCTTTCATGTTATTTTTACATTGCGCTTAAAATTAAAACAACAAATATAAATGTTTAAAGTATTGTATCAATTACTTAATTAGTTAGTTTGTCAATAACACATGACAAATGAATTAATTTAACTTGTAATTTAGAGCGGGGTCTTCTAAGACACGCAAAAGAAATGGTAAAACTAACATTTTCTGTTTTACTGTGTCATGTTTCTTTGAGTCTATTTCCCGGAAGATTTCTTACTAGGGTAAATGACCCAATTATTGACAAGTATCCAATTACTGACACACTCTTAGTCTTTTTATTAAAAAAAGAAAAACTAATTTACCCAGCACACTTATTTATGAAAAGAAAACAAGCATAAAGCCAGGACTGTTGATTACACGAAAAAAAAAAAAAAAAAAAAAACATTTTTTGAATATGTTTATTTATTATT